GATATTATCCAATTTATATCTTAACTATATATTCTCATCTTTTAAATTTTAGCATATTCCACAAATGTTAAATTAAAACTTTAATTTGAAAATATATTATTTTAGATTTCATTTTATCAAATCTAAAATTTCTACCGACTCTCTTATGCCTATAAATATAGTAATCCACTGAAGCACTCACATATCACTCAAACTTTCAGAGCAATTTTAAAGTTTTTTTATTACGTTTCTCAAAACGATGAATTATTCACCTACACGTACGTTACAGAGACTATTGAATGATTTTTTTTTCTATTGTATGAGTTTGCTTCTATTGACAAGGCGATTTTTTTAATCTATTAATTTAGCTGATTTTTTTAATTTTTTTAGCTGAATTTGAATACCTTTTATTTTGTTTCTTCTCACATTTCTTGACTTGATGATTTGTTTCAGATCTACGTCCAAAGAGTCTCATCCAAAGTCTGATTCAATGAGCATGTGTATTGGAAATCTGGAATTAAAAAAAAAAATCAAAGTGAAACACTTGAGAAGGTTTTGTATGTTTCAAATATTTCTAATTCCTATCCACGTAATTTCATTAGTTAATATTATAATAAACGTTTCCTTAATTTTTGATATGATTATCTGCATACATTTAATATTATTTGGTTAATTGTTATTTTAGGTATTATATATTGGCAACCAATGACGTCGAAGAGAAAATGAAATAGTAAGGATTTTATGTCAAATATTTTTGCATGTTATGTAGTCTCTCTACAAAAACAAAAATTTATTTATCCCGCGGGTCATATTCTATGATACTGGACCAAATACATTTGACAAATTCAATTACTCGGAAGATAGAACGGATTGAAGGCAAGATCTTCAATCTTTGTCATGTCTAACGTCGAAATTGAAGGAAATTTTGGAAGAATCCGACATCAGTTTTCGTTGAAGAACTGTCAGAATTTTTTCTCTTTGTAAACCATGAAACTGGACCAACCAAACCCAAATATAGCCCACTAAAAAACTTAGATCCAATACAACAATTTTTTTGTTTATTCTCTAATTATAAATACCTACTTAAACCAAATAAATTGTTAATGTCATAAAAAAATACAAATCTAATGCAGCTAAATATATTAAATTCTAAAATACAATATTCTCTCCTTATTTATTACCAAGTCATATTTACAACCAAATTAAGATTCAACAACATTAATTCCTATAATAAAATTAACCAAATATGATAAGGAAAATAGATATAAAATTAATTATATAGTATTATTTACTTCTACAAACAAAATATACAATTATCGTCAAATAAATAATACATAATATAATGTCCAAATAGTAATAAACATAAAACTATATTATTAATTCCCTTTTATACTAAACTATTACACTATGTTATTTCTTACATGTTTCAAATTAAATGAACAATATATTTCAAAAAAATAATAATAAAACCCCGTGCTGTATAGCACGGTCATGATCTAGTATCTTATTCATTAGACAAAGCTTATTCTATCAACCAAAATTGTTACTGTGTTTATTCTGTGACTATGGTGTTACTATATGTTTTTTTTTTTGGTATTACTATATTAATCGTTTGATAGTTCAGTAAAAATGTGAATTTTATTACATTATTTGGCTAATAATCTCACCATTAATGTCTCTCTCTCGATCTCAAGCTCAATGATGATTGTTTTAATGGATTCAGATCTTTGCTTCACCTCTGATTGTAGTTTCCATAGGTTTTCAATCTCTTCCTCTGATCAGTCCACGATTGTTATAATGTCGTAGTGGAGACTCGTAGCTAATCGATCTAAGGTATACAAATGAAGCAGCCATTGGAAGATAAAACTTTATTGCTGGATGTATGAAATAGTTGCTTTGTATTTGAAGATGTGAGAAGACACTAATGTATCGAGTATTTATAGTCGTCTAAGTTAGGTCACAAAGATTTTGGTGACCAAGCATAGTTATTGGGCCCATGGCAGTAGCAAATCTATTTCAGTTTACAAAAGTACTTATGTCGGCAGATATATAACATGCCGAAACCATAAGTTATATATCACCCTGTAAATTTGTAGTTTGAGCACGGAGATAAACAAATTCTATGTTAGGTAACATTTTAAAACCATTACCTTAAAGAAAGTAAACAGAATTATGTTACGAAATCATAGAATCAAACTATAGTTGTGTTACAAAATCATAAAATCAAAGTGTCGAGCCACAAACCAAGCAGCAACCTCTGGGAAATGAAGTTAACAAAACATCAAACTTACAAAGACAGGCTAGGCTCAGCCGGGAAGCAAGGTAATAGCAAATGGCCAGACCTAGCATTGCTAAGAAGCCATATTTCCTGCAGAAGAAAAGAAACGAGAGTTTATCAAAAGGCTACTACTACACCTACTTAATGCAGAACCAATTGAGAATTTAGATACGAATCAAACATTCTCTTGTTCTAATTCCATTAGCTTGTAGCCTTCTTATCCATAATTTTCATAACAATAAGTAGACAATCTCTTGCTACTTTCAGCTAAATGGAGGTTTAGTTATTACACAAGCTTTTCATAACAATAAGTAGACATTCTCTTATCTATAATTTTCTACTGCTTTAACCTTTAACAACATGAAAGTGATTAAGATTCATTGTTTTCATGATGTGAAGATATCGTTGAACAAAGATGTCAAAGCCAAGTTCCCGAAGTAAAAGGACAGAACCAAAAAAAAGCTGAGCCATGAGAGTGAAGACATGATAGGCATCTTCTTCAACAGTAAATTTGGCTTGTCAACCAAAATTCCAGCAAGGTAAGAAAATAAACCAAGTCAGTGATCATGCTACCTCAGAGATCATAACTCCAACCAAGTCACTGGAAAAACTTAAGATAGAAACACAAGCCTAGGATTCCCACATCTGTGCATGCCAGATTTTTCAGTTTTGTTACCTTAGTTATGTTTCTACTCTACTAGACTCTATAGCATATAACTCCAATAACTTGTTAAAAACATAAAAGAGAGACGAAGAACAAACCCGATAGTGAGACGCTTCATAGGATCACCAGTAGAATAGCCTTTAAAGTAAAAGAATCTGCTAACTATTATAAAGCAAACCAAGACCTGCACATACACAAGGATGCTTCATACCACCAAGGATCATAAGTATGAAGTACATTGGCATCATCTCTAAAGAATTCTGAACACCTCTCTGCAATAACCCCAAATTTGGAGAGTCAATGTTTCAATCCGGTTTGATTTCGGTTTCATAAATCCGGTTCGAATTTCGTTTGGTTTGTTGATTTAGTATATTCGGTTTGATTGAAACTAACACCCTGCCGTTTTAGTGTTATAAATTTACAGTACCTGCCGTTATGTTTACAAGTATTCTTTTTAAAACCACAAAGTGTTTAGGGTAAACAATATCTACCGTCGGTTTATTATCTCAATTGGGTAAAAAAAACTTTCTCTCATAAGTATGACGCTTCATAGGATCATCATCTCTAAAGAATTCTAATGACCTCTCTTCAAAAACCCCAAATTTGGTTTCCAATTAAAGAACTCACATCTAAAAACAACTCACAACAAAACCAACAATAAATGATTACAAAAATTCACAAACCTGGTCACAATCGAAAAGCTTAGCATCTTTGTTTTCTGATTATATAGCATATAATGTTGGAGAAGCAACTTTGTACCTGCAATTTCAAAATCCTCTTATGATAAATGGTGCCAAAATAAAACGGTACCGTTCTGGCTAGTCAATGTTTCAATCCGGTTTGATTTCGGTTTAATAAATTCGGTTCGAATTTCGTTTGTTTTATTGATTTGGTATATTCGGTTTGATTGAAAATAACACCCTGCCGTTTTAGTGTTATAAATTTACAGTACCTGCCGTTATGTTCACAATTTTTTTTTAAAAACCACAAAGTGTTTAGGGTAAACAATATCTACCGTCGGTTTATTATCTCAATTGGGTAAGAACAAAAAAAATCACAAAATTATCTCAATTGGGTAAAAAAAATCTTTCTCTCTTCTTGTTCTTGAAAGTTGTGTCGGTTTCACTTCAAAATCTATGCTTGGAAGTGGGAATCGATTCTTGATTATCTAGGTTTTGTGAATCTTTGGTTCTGATCATGTAGAAGCTGTTCTTGTAGATGCTTAAGAAAGAACGAGAGAAGTTTGATTCTGATTTCATTATCGTCAGGTTGGTTTGCTTCTTTAAGGAGATTCTTCTTTTTGGATGTTTGCTCTTAATGTGTAACTCTGTTTATTCTGTGAGACTATGACAGATTGTGACAGTGTGACTATGTCACTGTCTTAATAGTTCAGTAAAAATGTGAATTTTATCACATTCTTTGGCAAAAAAATTTATAACTGGACAAAATTATAAAGTTTATCTATATTGTTTCCTTTTCCTATGGTGATTATAGCTTATTCATTTGACAAAGCTTATTCTACCTTCCAAAATTGTTACTGTGTTTATTCTGTGACTATGGTGTTACTATATTAATCGTTTGATAGTTCAGTAAAAATGTGAATTTTATTACATTATTTGGCTAAGTGGAGAAATTATAAAGTTGATATGTCTTGTTTCTTCTTCCCGTGGTGGTTCTGTGACTAACGTTACTATTTCAAGTGAAAATGTGAATCTTATTGCATTCTTTGGTAAATAATTTATGTGGACGACAAACATTATAAATTATAAACGTATTGCTTCATTCTTCTCATGGTGGTTGCAGTTGCAAATAGATTCAATGGTGGCAGAGAAGAGACAGCTTCCAATTCGGCTATTTACTCGTGGGACAGAGCCGGCGCCTAGGAAGAGTATGAATTACCATTCTCATATGGAAAAAATGGATAAGGTTTTCAGCAAACTGGGAATGGATGCGTGGCTGAACTTGAGGAATTCTTGTCTTGGTGTTTTCGTGACGTTTTACGAGAAAAAATTCGTCTTTGCGGGTAGGATCGTGCAGCATTTGCTTCTTCGTCACCTAGCCGCACGAAATATGGTGTTTGTTGGGAGACCAACCAGTTAGGTTTTCACTAAATGAATTCCAACATCTCACTGGACTAAACTGTGGGGAACTCCCAACGGATGATGATGCCGTAATAAACCACCACACCGAGTTCTGGACGATGCTCAAGTTACGGCCTAACAAAGGTCCAAGTTGGGTAAGCTTGGCTAGGTCGTTGGATGAGTGCATTGGTTGGTCTGTTCGCGACAGAACTAGACTGGGATTGTTATGTTTGTTGTCTATTTGTGTTTTTGCAAAGGACCGGCGAGTTAGGATTCCAGTTTCAATTGCTAAGAAGGTGCTGAGGAGGGATACATTGGACATGTATCCTTGGGGGAGACTGGCGTTTGTGCATCTGATTAGCGCTATCAAATCTGCGGATTTCGACAAATACAGCCTTGTTATGGACGGTTTCGTCCAAGTGTTACAGGTGTGGGGATACTGGGCGTTCCACCGTCTAGGGGAGACGGTCGGAAATAAAAGAGAGTGCGAGGGCGTGGAACTAACAGGATGGAAAGGTAGTAGGAAGCCATTTGACTTGGACCAGCTACTCTTGGAAGATATGAAAGAATATGGGAAGGTATTGAATTTGTTATCAAGTTTATGTTATTGTCACCAAACCAATGGACTCCTATATATATATCATTGCTGATTCTTTATTTTTATTATTGTAGCAGTAACAAAATTTACAAGTTGGATGCTTACATTATATCTGTTTATTTGTTAGGTTCGGGTAACACACTTGCATTATCCGGGGGGAGATTTGGTTTTCCCTAAATGGGGAAACGAAGCTCATGATCCTTTGGTTCATTGCATGATTAAAACAATTATGAGTCTTGGCGACCGCTTCATGCATACTGATTGGCCTTCCGAGGGAATGAAAGTCGGCAATCCTCAACCGAAGAGAGAAACGAAGAGAAAAGCGTCAGTCAGTCGAAGTTTAAGCGACTCTAGCGGGGTTCATGACCCATGCGGTTCTCCAACTTCGACCAAGAGGAAGCGAGGCAATAATGTTAAATGCAGAAATGTTGCTGGCAAAGCGAGTTTGGCAGCAACACAATCTGGCGGATCAAATGATTTTTGGAATTTATCTCTCAGTTCGTATCGAGCAAAGATAAGAACCTAGGATAATGGCAAGTCGGTGTGCCCTGTTTGTAAGTGCAAGGTTAAATTAGTGCCCTGCCTTTAGAACAACCATCTTCGAGCTTCACGTTTTGGAGGTAAGAGCAAGAGATAAAAATCTCTTATCTCACTTTTTTGTATAAAGATATTTGGAGACGACTCTTTCTCTTACCTTCCCCTTAAATATGTTTGGATTCTCGGGAAATTAAGCATAAAACTTATTGTGGTTAGGGGTTTAGGCATCACTATGTAGCTACCCCACTTTTGGTTTTGTTTTGTGCATAAATCTTGTTTAATTCCTTCTCTTGAACAGGTCTTTAAGTTTTGCTTCTTAAGTTTCTTTTTTAGTTTAGTTGAATCTTGTGAGTTGTGTGACCAAGTAGAATATATATTCATGATAGTAACTAGTGTTGTTATTTAGCAAGACCTAAGGCAAGAGAAAAAGATAGAAATTCCCTTTTGGTAGGACTTTCCTGCTTTGTATGAAAAATATTTGTTGGGATATTAAACCCTATAGTTTTAGAGATTTGTGATCTGTTTTGTTTTATCCAATAGAACATCAACATGATTCCAACAACAAACACATTTTGTTCTGTAGCGTGCAAGACAAGTAAACTCGTAAATCACTCAATTGTAGTAAAAATTATGGTTCTCTTTCAAAAAGAATTAACAAAGTGTTAATACTGTGGCTTGAGATAAACCCATCAGAAAATTAACTAATTTGCTGATAAAATAATTCTTTTTGAATATTGAAAACCATAAATAAATATCATAAATCCCATAGAAAGTTTTCTTAGGAAAGACAAAAACATAAACGAAGACAAAATAAAAATCTACCAACCATTTCCTCTCCCATAGCCATTCCTAATGGAAAAAGATCCAAAACTCGAAGACACATCATCAAGCAAAGCATCACTCATGGCATCTCTTAGATTCTTATCATCAACAGCATCGTAGAAGCATCCACGTGTCCTCGACTCACTTATAAGTTCTGCCCAAATCGAACCACTTAGAGCCAAAGTGGTCTCGTTACCAATCACCCATAAACAATGTCTTGCACGAGTCAGTGCCACATTGGCTCTTTGATGGTTACTTAGAAATCCCACGTTTCCATTAACGTTACTTCTAACGGTAGAGATGATGATAATGTCTTCTTCTCCTCCTTGAAACCCATCTACCGATTGAACATTCAAAGTGAAAAGCTGACCTGATAAGGAACCGTACTTATCACCAATTCTCTCTTGGATAGCTCTCACTTGTCCCTTGTAAGGTGAAATCACTCCAACACTCATCTTCTGGTTTCTTAGACTTGAAACTGTTTCAAGATTAAATAAATTAACCAAAAACAATAATGAAAATAAGATTATACAAATCAATAAAGATTAATGTAATTAAATACCTTTGAAAAGATTGGATATGATTTCGGAAATGACAGCAACTTCAACCATATTCTTAGGACTATGTCCATCACAAAACTCTTCTTTCCCACGTCCCACATTGATAAAAGAGAAAGAACCAAACATTTTTCCCTGAAGAAACCGCTTTTCGTAAATGCGTTCTTGAACAATCGATGCATCAGTGATTCTCCCATCATAAAACTCCTTATTAGGGAAACAACTAATCGAAGGATGCATCCGATATTGAACATTTAGCAAATGTTTGTTATGACCAATCAAAACCAATCTCTCGAACAAGCTTCTTCCGAATTTCGCCTTTTCGCATTCCTTGCTGTGAACCATTGCAGGTAACTGATACTCATCTCCTATTAGAAGCGCATGACGAAGTCCAGGAAGTTGCAATGCGGTAACTGATTCACATTCTTTAAGCTGAGCTGCCTCATCGACCACGAGAAGGTCGACAGAGCCTATCCTTTCCGGAACCATATTGGCCACACTTGAGGCTGTGCAGAGGATTATATCTGCATTTTGTAGACAAAATTTCCTGATATCTTCATAATTTTCTAAGCCAAAAATCCCAAAACATTTTGGAAGTAGACATAGAGCCTCAATAGCATCAACACTGATGAGTTTGTTAAAGCAATTGAATCTAAAACCACCTTTCTTGAAATCATCTCTAGATGAATTCTCCTGCAAGAAATCTCTAACACGGTGAAGCGCTTGGCGGGCTGCTATCATATTCTTCACATCTTTAGATGAAATGAAAGACTTAGGTAGATGAGTGCACAAATCAACCATATCTTTCCCCAATTCTTCACTTAAGACATATAACTTCTTTTTCACAAACTCTCCAAATGTAGGAATGTTTACAACTTCTTCCTTCACACTCTCATCATCATCTTCCTTCTTACTTTCAGCTTCTTCCTTCTTCTTTTCGGTTTCTTTCTTCTTTTCATCTTCCTTCTTCTCCTCTTCCAAAATCCTATGAAGTTCTTCTAATTCATGTACATGTTGCTCATACTTAGCCTCTGTGTTCTCAAGAAAATCTATGACTGACTCCAACCTCTTCTTCCATCCACATGTAGACAAAAAGAGTCTGCCAAGTTTACTAACACGATCATTGAAAAACACATTGAGAAGAACTTTATTGTTCTTAATCCCCATTCTTTCGCGGTTACCAGATAGAACTATATTCCCCATACCGTAAGTGGTACGTTCTAATATAGAAGTTCCATAGAATAAGGACGAGAACCTTGATACCACTTCAGCAATAGCAGAGTTTGTAGGAGCACACACAATTGTTTCCTTAGATAAAGCCAATAACCTCGATGCAACTGCAACAATAGCTGTGTTTGTAGGAGCACACACAACTGTTTTGCACTTTAGTTGGATAAGAGCAGAGAGAAGAGTCGTGATATCTTGTGTTTTTGCTCCTTTTTAAGCTTTGTTTCTCTTAGTTTTCCATCATTTTGCATTCATGTTTAGGTCCTTAGGTGCATATTTGCATTGCATTTCTTATTTTTAGGTTCTTGGAGTGAAGTATGGAGTTTTGGAGGCAAATGGAGTTGAAAGAAGTGAAGAATCAAAGAATCAAGAGGAGGATGAAAGCAATTGACCAGTAGGTCGATTGACTGGTCGATTGGGACCAAACCAGACACGCGGACGAGAAGGAGTCGAGGAAGCAGTCGACCAGTTGGTCGATTTCTTGGTCGATTTACTGGTCGATTGCCCGGTCGATTGATATGGATCAGAGCTACGGACAAGATTTGAATCGACCAAGTGGTCGATTGCCTGGTCGATTGCTTTTCTAAACCAGGTCAAAACCCGGTTTGTTCCGGGTTGACCCGGTTCGTTTTCCCCTTTTATATAAATACTCAAAACCTAGTTTTAGAGAAGGGGGGAGGCTTGTTTTGAATTTCTCTTTTCTCCTTTGAGATTTTGTATGAATCTTAAGTATTTTTATGCAATCTAGTCTTGTTTATTTTGAGATTTCTTCTTAATTTACTTTTGTCATTAAGATCATGCAAAGAAACAACATGGATCTTTGTGTTTTCACTATGATTAGTGAGTAGTCTCTTTTGAGCCTTTGGGTTTAGTAGATTAGGGGGGTTGTTGATTGATTCAAGATGTTTATGACTTAATCTTTATTGATCCTTACTCTCTAGGTGTTCTTAGTGCTAGATTAGTTTTGATTAAGCTAGTCTAGATCATAAGAAGTTTCATGCCCGGAAGGTGTTCGATGAAATTCCCGAAAGAACTTATTGAGTGCTTAGCATTCCTAGCCAATGGAAATTGATGATTAGGGTGCTAGGTGGTTAGTTAGGCTTGAAATTAATGCATATTAGTCTTGCGATTGCCAATGGAAATTGATGTTAATTGCTTGATTAGTGTAGAATTAGTACCATGGAAGTGGACTAGTTTACATTAGTGTTCTAAGACTAAAGGATTAGCATTGTTAGATTGATAGAGCATCTTGAATTGATTATTAATCACTCGAATCAATAATCTAAACCCGAAGACTCGCTTTCTATTTATAGACTTGAACCGCTTTGCTTATTTCTCTCTTGTTTGATTTTGAATCTTGTTAGTCTTTTGCATATTGATTTCTTTTGTCTTGTTTTGCATTGTTTAGTTTAAATTGCATTGTTAGGTCAAATTTAGAAAACCAAAATCATCTATTTTGCTTAGATTAAGTGAATGTGTGCATTCCTAGTGTGTTGGTTCATTGCTCCTTGAGGTTCGATATTTAATTGGGTAAAAACACTACATCAAGTCGTGACCGTCTTTGTTTTGCCTGTACCAGGAGGTCCCCATATCAGTTTCACACTCTTCTTGTGATTACAATTCCTTGTCTTAAGGCAACCAAAAATTGCAGCTTCTTGGGAAGAGTTCAGTTTTGCTGAACGAATTCTATCCAAAACACTGTCAGAATCAGAACCATCATCATCATTTCCACAAGAAAAGCATTGTTCTGTAGCCTGCAAGACAAGTAAACCCACAAATCACTCCATTGTAGCATCAAATAATATTCAAAAATAAAAATAAAGAAGATTATTTCATAATATGTATCAGAGAATTTTCTTGAAGCACACTCTGGATTAGAGTAGAATCGGCAACTTCGTTGTGCAAAGCGTTCCAAATTCGAGTGTTTGTGGTTAAAGTCATGAGAAATATACCAGAGCGAAATGAATGTTTCTCACTCTGAGAGATTGATCTAGAGAAGTGAACAGAGATTTTATAATCACCAAACACAGAGAAGACGTAACCTAGAAGTAAAGGATTCAAGTAATCAATTCTTGGTCTTTCCTCTGTCAAACTCAGAGGACTCAATGCAATTATATCTCCACACTTTGGCTCGTACTTTTCACTTTTGTCGTCTGCATAATCCATTAATTTAATATCATGGAACATCTTGATCGATGACCTTCCACTAAATTCATATATCTTTGTCTCAACAGAAAGTATTCGACAGACGGGAGCTTTCGATAAAGATATGAAGCTCGAGAACAACTCGGTTCGTGTTTCCTCGAGTAAATGAGGAACAAAACACTGAAAGTATTCATCGACAGAACTAAATCTGTCTGGTATTGTTTTTAACTGTTACAAAAATACAAAAATAAGTAAGTACCGAAGATAATGCTACTGAAGAAAAGGTTAAAAAAAGATCAAAAACCTTTTCTTTGTAGAGATCTTCGTTGAGGATATCTTTGATTGACCAAGAACATACTCTAGCGAATAGACTTGTTTGCTCGTTATTTTCCAAGAGCTTTCGTATCTCTTTATTATCCATCAAAGCAACTGTAGAAATTACCAAAAGGCTTTACTTGTCTTACAAGACAAGGAACCCTTTTATAGGTTTGGTGCAGAAGAATCAATGGAGTCGAAAAAGACAGATCGGGTGTAACTTTCACTGTCAGTTTTGGTCTTCTTAAAAGGAAGAATAAGGTGAAAGGTCCAAAGACACTTTGAAAATGTTCTCAAACTTTTAACATTTTCCAAGAAACTCTTGTTAATGCATGGACCTCAAATTTTGAATATGAGATTTTGCATGCGTAAAGTTTACAGAGTAAAGATTTATTATAGTTATAGGCATTTAAATTCATTACTTTTTTTTTGTTTACGAGAAATTAATTCAATTCTGATGTTGATTTTCCAAATTGCATGGGGAAGAAGAAAGGTCGGGATTTTAAGAACATAGCATTCATGGTCCCGCTTCTAGTCGTAATAATATCTAAAAGTATAATTGAATTAGTTAAGATGTATATATTAACATTTAACAATTTAGGTGTCACAATTAAAGTTCTAGAAATTAGAATGATAAAGTCGTTAGGACATGTGGTAGCTATTAGTACTCTTGTATTTCATAGTGAATTATACTCTGGCTTGAGATAAACCCATCAGAAAACAATACGCTATTAATTGGTCTTGCTATTAAATCAATCTAATGTTAACTTGTATTCTGGATATTTTATGCATAGTCTTCTTATAAACAACTTAGCATACACTGTAGTTATATACTCACTCCCGTTCGTTTGATTAGATGTTTTAGAAGTTTTTACTAGAAGATAATTCGGGCTACGCCCAGGTACGATATAAATATTTAACAATTGATACTTTTTGTTTTTGTGATATTAATAATCAACTTGTGGGCTAAAAATAGAAGTAGTCTTGTCCTTGAACGCTTCATGATTGTAAAAGACTTCTTTTTTGGCCACAAAAAAAGATAACACCATCTTTTAGTTTCAAAGCGAGGCAAGCAAATGCAATGTGTTGATGCAATTGTTAAAAAAGCATACTATTCTCAATTTAATTTGCTACATTAGCATGCACTATCCGGAATTGACTTGGGCCAATAGTTTAAAGGGAGAAACCTATATGTTCTCAAGTTTTATTGAATTAGTTGGGGTATGTTAGATTTGTGAGAAAAAGGTCAAACAACAACCTGATCCTTATTTATTCTGTGAAAATGTTAAATCTACCTTACAAAACAATTGCCATTCCTTCTTACTGCACATACTCCTCCAGTCGATATTATTCCTCTATTTCCCTATCATGCAAACAATATCTTTATTTCAATGTATTTTTCTAAGTCACACTTTGCATATGCTCTACGCCTTTATTTTAAATCATCTGCTTAGATCATACAATAGGAATCATAGGATGGACAGTGAATATACAATAATGAAAAAAATTCTTCTTTAAACTTTTAAAAGCTTTATAGTTACTGGGATCTTGATCATGAGGTCTGATTCAGTTGGGTGAAGAACTCAGAATGCAGATTATTCAATGCATCATGTCTACATATTAAGATATGCACCTGAGACGTAGGAGAGAAAGGAAAATCATTAGTATCTTCACAGGCATGACCAATTTTTTATTTATTTTGGATTTCAAATTAAGTTTCTAATGCAGGTTAATTTTCCAAACAATGACCATATTGATTAATACCTTAAAGAATATAGAAATGAACTCCTACAAAGACATACCTTGATAGTTTTTCTCTTGAGCTTTTCTTTGTCATAATACGCATATACTATGCGAGGAGTTAAAAGATAGAATAGTCAAATGTGGCTAAAGTGGTATAACGAAAATAACAAAACGTCAAACGCAGGGAAAATAATTGGTAAAACATGAAGAAAGAAAAAAAAAAATTGCTGCAGGCAATAAAATTAGGGAGTGTTGATTTACTGACCTCCAATCCTAAATTGAAATCTGGGCGAAATTCTTTATTGACATGGTACAGAGTAATAGATTCACTAGTTAACATCTGCGTTGCTACCGATTTGGATATGAAGAAGAAGATAGCGAGATGGAGAGGTCGGAGTAAAACTTCTTCTTCACATTAATCTCCATCAATCTCATCGAAAATCTTAAAGGTGAATGGTTGGGGAGACTGTTTTGCTTTATTTGGTGCCATGTTTTGATTGAAGTTTTTTTGCTTATATCAGTTTGATCGGAGAGCTGACGTATAGGAGATTCTCACAAGAGGGTATGATTTTGAAGGTAATGGCCATTAGTTTCGATTGATGTGAATAAATGGGGGAGTGAAGATGAGGTAGTGGGGAATTGATTACCGTGGCGATGGGAAACTGAATCGATACAGTTTAGATTTTGAGATGGGCTAATTATTGGGTACTGAGCGAATGAGTTTTTTATATGTTGGGCTTCTATTTTTTATTGGAAAGACATTAGACTTTTTCATAGGCAAATTTTTTGCCCAAATTTTTTGCCCAAATTGCGAATGAGATTGACAAGTCACACTTTTCATAACCCAAGCCAAAACTCGAATCAAATCTTTCACAATTTATCGGGCAAAAAACAAACAAGAGTTTAGAAAATTCCTAATCTCCTGAATAGTGTGGAAGTCGAAACTAACACAATCGAGATTTGTCTAGGGTTTTATTTTAGGGATACGATAATCGTGAATTCTCAAAGAACAACAGAAACGATTTGTAACCAAAGATGGTGTTCTTGATATTATTGATGAAAAGAGGCGACTTTGATCGTACAAGAGTTTGATCGTAAAAGGAAAAAGATGTTTGTGCTGTGAGAGCTTTGCGTAGTGTAAATTCTAGAGCGATATTGCCTGTCCTTTGCTTGAGCCTTGAGTCTCTTTATATATAGGTGATAAACCGCCTCTCCAGCGATATTCTCGGAAGATTTCCATTTATCTTGAAGTCGGCTCAGAATATCGCGGATTAGGATAGTTTCCTTATTTTTCGGAGTCTTTGGGAGATTTCCTGATTTGAGTCGATCCTTCTAGATTCTTTCTTATCATTTCCGGGTATATCGGAAATGATCCTTCTTGGCAGAAATGATACCTTACTTGGAAATGATACTTTGAAAGCGAATATTTACTAAGTCTTTACCTCGGACGATTATGAAGACTTCACCTCGGAGAAACTTGTGCAATCGGCTCGGGTACACAGGAAGGACTGGCTCGGGCACTCTAGGATGGCTTCTCCGGGTGTCCCCGAGGCGATGGGCTCAGAAACTCCCGAGGCGACCAGGCTCGGGTACCCCCGAGGCGATGGGCTCGGGTACCCCCGAGGCAATTGGGCTCGGATGCTTTCGACGTCTTGTTCAGGATATCCCCGAGGCGATGGGCTCGGGTACCTGAAACGTCTTGTTAAAGTATCCCCGAGGCGATGGGCTCGGGTATACTAAATCGATTAGACAGATATCCCGAGGTGAATGATGCGATGCCCCGAGGTGATCTCTGAAAGACTCCCGAAGTGTTCTAAGTCTGGCTCGGCGCCAAAGGGTGGAATCCGACCCCAACAGTTAGCCCCCCAGCTCGTTAGTTTGGAGAGCCAAGCGTGAAGAGCTTTATGACATTTAGGCCGAGCCGTTTACTTTGAACAGTTCGGTCCCTTTAACGTTTTTGGCGATTCGAATTCCTCTGTCGTTTCATCTTCTCTTGGCGTGTGACGGTTGGGATTCCTTCTCGAGAAGTGGAAAGGTCCTTTCGCTGATTCCCGAGACTCGTGCGGATGCGAAGTATCCTACTCACTTCGTTTGTGCCTGACGCGCCTCAGACGCGGATACGATGTGTTTTATTTGGCTCGTTCGTACCCGACGCGCCCCAAATCTCTATAAATGTTAAGCCTCCGATTCATTTTTTCATTTCGCAATTGCAAAGGAAAATTTTCAAGGTTCGTTCTCCTCTCTCTGATCTTGAGTTCTTGCATTTTCTACTTTTTCCGTTAATACTTCCGTCATAGCGCCACCGTCATTAGATCTAGGTTGATTTCTCCGATCTGTCAAACTTTGTTCCTCCGATCAACTTCTTCAATCTCCCGAGTCAGAAAATGTCTCTCTCTGATTCCAGCGACTCGCCCCGAGGTGACACTCTTCTCCCCGTCTATAAGAGAAAGATGGTCTGGAGTTCCTCGAGCGACCCCGAGGCGGACCATCAGATCGTGTTATACCGTGGAAGTGATGCAGAGTCGGCTTCACGGGAAGAAAACCCGAGCCGTTTCATTGTTCGGGAAGACGCGGTTGCAAATGTGGCTCGGGATCAGGATTTGCCTGATGATCCCGAGGCGATTTTGAGTAGAAGGAGGGCCCATCCACCGGCAGCTGGTGAAGCTGGAGTATCGTGCTGGCGAAATGCCCCCGAGGCGCCTCTACTTCCTATTAAGGCCGAGGAGGTTCACTACGATTCTGACGAGGCGGCTAGGTTGCTCCAAGCTAAAGTCCAAGCAGCCAAGGGTCAACAAAAGAGAAAACGAGCCAAGAAAGCTAGGAAACCTGATCCCCCGGGTTCTACTTTATGCACGGAGGATTCCCTTCGGGATCTCAAGGCTCGATTTGGTTTTAGCGAGGGGGTTGAACTGAGACTTCCAACTCCAAATGAGCGAGCCGATGATCCACCCGAGGGGTTTTTTACCCTTTACGAAGGGTTCTTCTATCATTGCTACCTTTGGCTTCCAATCCCGAGGCCGATTTTGGCGTTTCTGTGGTCGTACAAGATTGCTTTATCCCAGATAATGACCCGAGGCTTGCGGTATCTAGTGGGGATTTTAGTCCGAAGTATTGAGACGGTCAATCTCGTCGACCTAAGCCACCTAAGGAATCTCCTAGAGATCCGGCGCATACCGGGCCCTGTTGAGAGATTTTACATATCTCCGAGGCCAAATAGGAGGGTTATCGGTGGTTTCCCGAGCAAGGACGAGAAATACACCGACCATTTCTTCTTCGTAGCCTTGAATGAGTATAGTGTCCACGAGGACTACTTAGGGAAAATTGTTGGAAAGTGGAGACAAATCGGTACTACGCCCGAAGCCGTATTTGCTGTCTTGTTTTGCTTTAACCTTTTAACTGATCGTTTTTCTTGTTCATGCAGATCCGAACCCGTCGTTTCTCGAAGACATTCCCGAAGGCTTTCTAGACCTCCACGACGAACTAATAGCTCGGAAGTGCGATTGGACGAAGCACTTCTCCCAGGAAAGGATTGAGAGAGCCTTGCGTTTGTTGCACGGAGCCCCCTGCCAATCTTCTTCAGAATCATCCGATCACCGTCTAGATCACCTCATTGAAATGCAAGGAGCTGCGCAATCTTTGAGGGCGAAGAAAGCTGCCGAAAGAAAGGCGGCCGAGGAGAAAAGGGTTTGCGAGGCGACTTTCGGACCGTCAACTCCGCCTGAGGTTAACATTGATCCGCAGGTTGCCGATGGTGCCGAGGCGACTGAGGAGGTTCGGGTCGCTGCAGATTTGTCCAGGCCCGAGGCCTCTGGTGATGTTCGGCCGGATGTGGAAGTTCCCGCCGCAGTAGGGGCTTTGGCGATTGTAGCTCTGGGTGCCGAGGCGAAGGCTAAGGCGAAAGGGAAGAGACCCCGAGGTGATAGCTCGGGAGGACGCAGAAGGGAGAAGAGGAGCCGTAGCGAAGTTCCCATCTACAAGGATAAGATAGCTTCGGCTAATCTTATCGCTTCTTGTTCGGGTCCACCGCTTTCCGCTCCCGAGGCCTTGCTGGAGGCGCAAAACTACCGTGAGACCGCTGCTGGATTTCTGAAGGTATAGATTCGTTCCTTGCGTGTTTTTCCATCGTTTCCATACGTGTTTGCTGACGATTCTCGTTCTATTGCAGGCCTTCAACTTGATGAATTCCATGGTTCGAGCCTATGATTCTGGAGCTCGGAAATCCGAGCTTGCTCGTGAAAAGTTGGAGATCTCCCGAGCCGAAGTAGAGGCTAGGATTTCTGAGGTGATTGCGGCTAAACAAGAGGCCGAGGCATCGGCCAAGGCCGAGAAGGTGGAGCGGTTGAAGGCTTCGGAGGATAGCCTGCGAACTCAGAGAAAGCTCGAGGCCGAGATAGCACGCCTTCATCAATTATTTACCGAAGAGAAGGCTCTCCGGGAGAAGGAGATTATCAGAGAGCGGAGGGCAGCCAAAAGGGAGTTTGCCGAGAAGGTCAAGGCTATCGAGGCGAAGATGGACCAGTACGGGAAGGTGTCTACGCGCTATATGTACTTGGTACAAGCGCGGGCCAATGCCGAGCTGATAGCCGAGTTGGAGGAAGGGAAGAAGGTGGAGGATGAGAAAGCCGAGGTCCTTCAATGGACGACTGAATATGGAGACGCCGAGGATGAGTACGTTCGTCTCGGGACCGAGCTGCGAGAGGACTTGAAGCTTCCTCCGGTTTCCCCGGACTCTGTCGACGATAGCTTCGGGAATCGTTCGATAGAGGGTACCGCGGCTGCGATAGGTGTCGCCGACCAGTCGGGTTCGAACCGAGGTACCGAGGTAGCTCAAGTTTCGCCAGTTAACCAAGATTCGATCTGATCCCGAGATGTCTTTTTATTTTCCTTTTTGTAAGACATGCCTGGATGGCTTTATCCCTTGAATATTATGTCAAGTATTTTCCTTAAACATTTTTCCGAACCGAATTCGAAATTAATGTCAAATATTTGGTTTTATCTTTCGAGCCGAGAGCGAAAAGAATCATGCACCGGTGTTAAGTTAACCGAGTTTAAGAATTGCTCGTTGAGAAGTTAAATCCAAACGTCTTAACTTTCGAGCCGAAAGTGAAATGAATCGTGCACCAGTGTTAGGATAACTGGGTTTTGGTTAGGTAGGACTAATCTTTATCGGTTGCGACCCGAGCTGATATAGTCGAAGCCAGTGCTTAGAAGCGGACTGGGATACCAGTGTCGAAGTCAACTGGGTTTTCCGAAGACAATTTCTTTATGGCAGGATATCTCCGACCGAATCGTCTCGACTGTTTATATAGCGCGCTGTAACCGAGGCGGTGAAAAGAGCTTTTTCTGTCCGAGGACGTGGCCATCGTCCGAACGAACTTTTAGCTTTATAGGTCGATAAGATGACCGTTAAAATCTCCGAGGTGGATAAGATTAATAACCCGAAGGGTAAAAACTTAGAGAATTTGAAAAATTTAGTGGGAGTATATAAGTATACGGACCCACTCCCCCCTTTTTTAATTAGGGGGGTAGCTGAACTCGTCCGAGGACGAGCTGCCTACGTACCCTTTTCAGGGATCAAGCCACCCCGTAGTTCGAGTACATGCGTACCTTAGGTTTTTAGCGGTAATATTTCCTTAGATGCATTGCGTTCCAGGATCTAGGTACCGCTTTGCCGTTCATGTTGATGAGTTCGTAGACGCCGGGACGGATTACCTTTGCGATCGTGTAAGGTCCCTCCCAGTTTGTACCGAGCTTACCTGCGTTTTGCTCGGCGGTATTCTGGAAAACTTTGCGCAGTACGAGCTCTCCTTCGTGGAAGCGGCGATGCTTCACGTGAGAATTATAGTACCGAGCCGTTGCAT